GCCAGGAACACATCGCAGATTTGTTGAGGACTGATTTGGAACACGTTCTAGATAGGTATTAACTGACGATTGTTAAGGTTCCGTTTCGTTCAATAATTTTCCTGCTTGTTGTTCTATTTTGCCTTTCAGTTATGAAACTTCTACCGAAGTGTCTCATTTTCCGGAACATCTTCGGCTACGAAAATTGTTCGCAGGAGGTGTTCCGAGAGTGTATCAGCATGTACGAAGAACACAGTTGCAGAATGATGTCGCCAAAGTATTGAGAGAACGAAGTGACCTCGGTGAGAGAAGTCGTTTTTTTTCCAAAAATGAAATTGATGAAAGGATGTTGTGCTTCAATATCCAATTTTGGTTCTCTTTCGACACATTCTTTTTTTCTGGCATCTAGTGGTATTTCCTTTTACTTTGTTTCAATTTTGTGAAGCAAATAAGTGTGCAGGGAAACTATTAAATAGTCAAGTACTAGCGGCGAGGGAGTGAGAAGCACTTGGTAACAGCGGTTATTTTATAATTTTCCTCCTTTTCTTTGTGTTTTCTTATGTAATTTGGATCATATTTCAAACACCTACTGCATTGCTAGTTTTTCAGATTCGTTTATTGTTGTTCTCCATGGCATAGCTGGATGTGGTAAATCAACACTAGCGGCAGCCGTTTTGGCGGATGTTCCAGATTTGTTGGGAGGGTAGAGATTTCTTCACCAACAGTGCTTTCTTAATTTTGTTTTCCGTTTTCAGTTTTCTTTGTTGATTTTGGTGTTCCAGTCGTTTTGAGTCGGTGGTGTGGCTGCAGGACTCACGTTCCAAACGAGACCAGGCGCATAAGCTTTTCACGGATCTTCTTCTTATGCTATGGTGAATGAGCCTTTTTTACGTCATAACTTTTTCAGGGCTCCCGGTTTTCGTTCCTTTTCCATCCCGCGAATGTGCGTTTCGAGAGCATTTAATTTGATGGTGCGAGTAACTAAATTTATCAAAAGGATGAAAAATTCAGAGATGATGGTGAAAGAGCGTGAGACAGACCAGGAAGGGATTTTGAATTGGGATCCAGGCGAATCGATAGGGCCTGGGATGATGCTCATAAATATGCGAACCAAACCTGCTCGTAAACCTGCCGAGAAGATTGTGAGCGATGAAATTGGTCCCAAGTCCGATTCGTCGTGATACCAGAATTTTTGCATTTTAGGTTGGTGCGTCCAGATTTATGACAAATGGCCAGGAATAGATGTTATAATCGTAATCGGGGCCATCGGTTTCTCCTGCAGGAAGGCTTTTATCAAATATCACTATACCAATGTAGCATTCCCAACTAACTTTAACCATCCAGAGCTTCCTCGCCTTACATAGCAGTTTCGATCTTCACAATTGTGATCACTGGGAGCCTTCTTTGGTGAGAAGAATGTTAGTATAAGAGTATATTATCAGTGCATTTCTTTCACAACTACAGCGATGGCTGGCAAACCATGCGAAAAAGAACAAACGAAATACTCATTTTTTGACTTTAACGGTAACATTTTACATTTAACGCGTTCAAATTTACAAAAGTGTTTGCTTGTACTCCATTCGATTGCTAAAGGAAGTGCTAAGTGGCTTATTATTATACGCGGTTGCCGTTGATCTTCAATGCGATACCAGGTGAGAAGATGTGTCATCCCATTCACATTTCCATGCTCTTAGAAAAGATAAGTGAAACTGATGCACTAAAGCGCTCAGTAACAGGACCAAACGCTAAGGTTACTGAATGACAACAACGTAAGAACGAGTTAGATTCGAGAAGAACAACTGGAAAAACCTTACCCTGAACAAAAGATGCCACTGTGTGTGTAATTTGCAAGTTGCTGTTTCTCATCTTCAAAAGTGCTTCCTAGGGATGATAAGAGTTCGGATCCTCCAAGATTGGTCGATGTGTCTTCTGTGTATTTATGCAAACAGGTGATCTCTTACTTTTGTGAACTCGATAACTTAAAAATGCTCTGTCAAGATCCAAGAGGCTCTGATTGATAATCCGAATGTGCTCGTTATTCTGGATGACGTTGTACAGGAAGAGACGGTGAAATGGATCAATCAACTTGGCGTGAGTTTTTTCCACGTTGGGCATGGGGCTTTTGAGAAATAGTTGGCAGAAAGTAATTCCTCTTTGGCGGGCACTGTTTTTTCTGCGACTTTAGTTCAACTCTCTCACGGCATAGTTCCATTCATAGAACTAATTTTTTGGTTCAATGTTCAGGGGAGATATGAGCGGCTGTTTAGTTCCAAGGACCGTAGCCATCGCCAGTCACGTTTCTGACCGACTATGGCTACTTGTGATTTGGCTTGCGATTACTTTTGAAAGGTGAACACGGTGGCTGGAAAGTGGAGCGATTATTATGCCATTGGACGTCACCGGTAGAACATACCCCTCAGCGCGTTTGGGGAAACTAACCATTTTGATTATTTGGAGATTTTTCTTTCTTAATTGTAGTAGGGGACCACCTTCTCGCCTTTTCACCAATTACTCCATTGGCATCAAATCCAATTCGCTCCCCACTTGAACTAGCGAACAATCGTGTCTCGCATAGTCACATGTCCATCGCAGATAAAGAGTAAACGCAACCAAAGATTTCTTGCAGAGAACGTAAGGGTGCAGAAGAAACTACGGTATTTGTTTCTGATTGTTTTTAAAATGCTGTTCCAGCTTCGTGTACTGGCAACCAGTAGAAATGCAGAGCTGTTCGCCTGTGCTTTATGCTCTGTAATTAAATCATATATGAGAGCATCACACCACCCACAACGTCGACAAGAGCATCACTCTCTGACGAAAGCGAGACAGGAGAAGTTTTTCTCACATTGACTGGCGGCACACCGCCATTGCAAGGGAAAGAAAGGCCGAAGTAGGTGAAGATAGATTAACTTGTTCTATGAACCACTACCTAAATATTAAATAACATATACCCGAGCATCAGTCGGACCCCCATCATAGCACGTCGCATTATTAGCAGTACCACAGTAGACTCTAGACAACTATGCAATGAGAGTATCTCAAAAAGCAGCTTCAGGTCGAGCGGATCGGTGAGATGACAGTTGGTCTGCAATTAATGTGACGCGCGGGTGGTAGAAAAGTGGCTAACACTAGCGCTGTATCTTGCAATCAAACTTCTCGGACCTTTTCTATCAAACATTACAACTATATCTATCACCAACTATAGATTGGCATGATCATACCTGAAAACACAGACATTATAGATTGTCTTCGCCTCAACCACATAAACGCATGCCGTGCTGGACTAAAATATTTAGATCCCTATCAGAATTACTGGAAGCGGATCATGGACGCATCAATCACCGAAATTGAGTTGTGACTATTGGAATGCATGGCAGGGGAGCAGGCGGCGGTTTTCTCATAGGCCAACCACGTGCTTACGAATGTCTTCGGAGTCCACTGTACACAGTCTCAACTCATTAAATCGATATTAGCTGAGCGTGTCAATATATATACTCTTTCATTCAGTGAAGGAAAGGTGGTTAAGAGATCTTATACACAAGGGGTATGAGAGTTGAATTTGCCAATTATACAGCAGAATGTGGAATTGAGATTATCCTCGATCCTTTTGGATGTGGAATACATCCGAACTACCTAATGAGTTGTGAAGGTATTTATTTTTGAACACTCACAAAAACCATACAATTACATGCAAAGCAGGCCTGCTTGGGTAAATCGGTGGATTTATAATTTAAAGCGAGTTTGGTTCCAACCAGCTAATCGACTCAGCAGGTTTGAGACCTGGATTGCTTTGGTTTACAATTTGGGGAGGGGGGTTAGTTTGGAATTTTTCTATTAGCCATTGCGCCATCCCCGCTCTGAATAGTTTTGTGTTAGTTTGTAAATGATTGTCGCTTATTTTATCATGCACAATTCAGTTTGGCTACATTCTCCGTCACTTAGAAGAACGCGGCTTGTCGTGGTTGACTCAGAAAAGCTCATATGAGTACGTTTCGATGCACATGTCACTGACGACATCAGTAGAGCGTTTGTCATCAGACGAGCGAGATACTCTTGCGTGTGCCCGCCGATACTTGCCGTCGGAGGACGACATTCCGCTTCAGGTGAGGCTCTATTATTCGGGCAATAAAGCTATAATTATTGCTGAATTAAAGTGGAAAATTAATGCTCTCAGAACATTCAAACAAACTGTATAAATCTTTATTACAATATTATCCGGCCTTCTCAGTTGCTCTTTTGTTTATAGTACGAAATATGCAGATGTGAAGAAATATAATGATAGGATATGGACCCACCGATTCATTACCGCTTTGATCCATTCACGCGCTTCCGTTTTCCCTTCTCTTAGTCTCACCTTATTCTGGCACATTTATATTGAAACAGATAGTGTAGATTTACATTTTCCTGTTTTTGACATGTTCATGTTTATATTTTATTATTCCATGTTGTTTGGAGTATTAATCCATGTCCTCCTTGTCAGGTGTGGGCGTTATTCGTGCCAGTTGATGTCGTTGACACTGATGAGGCCGAGTTCCTAATGTTTTTGTCCGATCGACTCAATAGAATATGTAGCAATGGCGGCTGGTTATTGCATAATCCGACGAAGGGAACTTTTCGAATAAGCAGAATGGTGGAGATTTATCTACGAGAGGCTCTTGATTCGCAGACAGTTAAGGTGAGTCGACGCGAAAGCTTACGGACTGCATCATGCAGTCAATTTTCATTCTGAATCGTAATCCGCTTGTCGCGCATTGACCCTTTAGAGTAATTGTAAGAATCTGAATGAGTCTGCTACCTTCCACCCGGCTTCGGAATGAAGGCTCTGTTGTCGTAGGTGGATTTGGTTCGGATTTGTTCGCGTGTTGTGTTGTGTGTGAGATAACGGCTCCACGCTATGTAAGGAATGCCGTTGTGGGTTCCAATTTCCGAAACTTCGCTTCTTGTTTCGCTCGCTATACCTCACTTTCGAAACAATCTCGTGTTTGCGAATGACCCAGTAGGAGTGACTTCGTTTTCTTTAAGTTAGGGGGGAGTGTGATGCTAAAGCCGAAATACAGTACACTTACATGCTTGAGCTATAGATGCTCATATGTATGAGCTTCAGAAAATGCACAAACAGTCCAAAATGAATGGGAGTGGAGCAGTGGCTAGGGGGGGGGGCGCTGTGCTTGGAGGAAGGTCCGTTAGACCGTAATCCGCCCATAGCAACCGATTCACCATAATGTGAAGTAGGTGTAGGTCTTCTTGTGCCATGGCATACTTCTAAATCAGGATAGGACGCTGACTCGAACTTTGGCTACTCGTAGCCGTTGTATAGGCGAATACTGGTTTAATGATCTCAATAGAATGCGTGGCGCATTCCCACGAGATGAAGCACTCACTGGTAATTTTGAATGAAAGGTTTTTTTCAGACGTTACTATCCATCTTGGAACACCGGTTAGAAAAATTTCGGCGAGATGGATTTGAAAGTCCTTTGGTCAGAGAATTTTTCTTGAATCATGCTTCGTTCTATAAATCTGTGCATGGTGTAAATATTTGAGGTTGTTTTTCCTTTTCTTTACCTGATGAGACCTTTTACTAGATTTTCCCGCATTACGGAAATCTTTCAATTCAATTTTCTTTCTCTGTTTCCTAGCTCTTATTTAGTTCTTACAGTAGCTTTTTGAAAAGTGTTTCGTTCGACCCATTTATCTATTAAGTCGCTGCTTGTTAAGTTATTTGCAAGGTTATCAGCATTTCTTTCTATATTGCCGTTGTTAGGCCTTATTGGTCTCTGCTCACTCGCAAGTTACATTCACTTATGACTGGTTGTAAGTCTAAGATCTTTTTGTTTCGTTTGATCTCTCAGTGATCTGAAAATGGAATTAACTTCACTGCCTTTGTGTACTGTAATATCTGTATCATTTTGATAAATTCGTAAATATCTGATAATGATCTGAGATTTATCCACGATGATATTCATTGGTATGGTTCACTACTCGATGCGGCTGGTCCTTTCATGGGATCTTCTACTCCGGAGTGAGTTGATGGTTTCGTTTCTAGTTAACTCCAGAGATTTGCAGGGATTAGTGCCATGCGTAATGCTTTCGTGAACACCTCTAGTTGAGAATGTAGTATCGACTGGTGTACGTAGGCATGCGCAGGGCACGAGGATAATTAAGATTTTGCAGCTTCTTGTTTTCAGTGTGAGATTTCGCGTCACAATACTCGTTGCTTGCACATTTGCTTTAGCCCAATTTTTGTTATCGATCCCTACAAAAACCGAGCTTTCTTCTTTCAATCCTTTACTGTGGCTCATCGTTCTCTATATAATTATGTGTTACCAGGTATGTATAAGGTTTGTGCCATTTTTGTAGCCACACCCTAGCGCTATGTGCTTACGAAATTAGTATCGATTTTACGCGCGCGCAGGCGATGGTGTGTGGTGGAAACTGAGAAAAGTTTTTGGACTTCCTTCCAAAGATGGTTTTAGCATTGCTCGTTTAAGTGGAATCGTCTCTACGGCGCCTATTTATCTCGGAAACAACGGGCATTGTTCGACGAGTGGAACATCATGGAGACATATCAGCCTCGCGCGTTAACGATGGGACATCTGTTTGAGGTAGTGAAGAGATATAGTGAAGAGATGTGATGTTTCGATGTATAAGCTGAGCTATTCCAGCCGGAACCACCGACTCCGTTCCCTGAAGATGGAAAAACCACTCCTGAACAAGACCATTTTCACGCTCTCCGTGATGCGGTTGGTTTTCCTCCATTAAATGTTTCATAATTTAGTGCGATAGAGGAACTTCCTGTTGATCTTTCGATTTTTTTTTGGCAATATTGAAATGTGCAATCCACTGATTTGATCGCCTTATAGCAAGTTTTTCTAGCACTACGCCAATGAATTCACGTACGCAGAAAAGATGGCGGCGGAAGCAAAAGCAATGGGAGCATCGTCACATTCCGAGCATCCCACCAAGCCAGATAAGGTGGGCCTCGCTGGTGTTGCAAAGACTCGGGAGCTGCCGCCGTCTCCAAGATTACTGTTCCGTGCCACCGCAATTGAGTGTCGCTGCGATGAGGAAAGTGTGAATTAGAGGCAGAGCTGTTCCATTTTCATCTATACATCCTTACAGCTAATAACTGAATCTAACTTACGGCTTTAAGTTAGTTAGGTATTTTTGTTGTATGGCTTCACTAGGCTTTTCTCTTTGATTCATTTCCGATATCGGGTTACGCAACGTTTAGATCGAAACCTTGAACGTTTTGTGCATTTGAATTTTTCCATTTCCTTGTAATACTCAAGACGAGACCCGGCAAATGTGATAGCGTCGTGCGTTCATCAGCTATCGGCGTCTCAGTAACGAGTGGCTTCTTACAAAACTAGAAAGGGAAATTGGGAAATTGAAAGTTGCTCAGCGCGTCGCAATTCTCCATTCTGAAAAAAATGTTTCGCGCGGTTTCAACTGCTTCGCTGCGGCGCTCATGTCTTGGGGGGTTGGGAGGGGAAAGACATTCAGAACAGGGCCGATTTTAGGTGAGACATGGAATAAGCCCAGCAAAGGGAAGAAACGCCAGAGAGATCACAAATTTTCACGTGCTCCCCAGGACCCCTTCCCCTCCCTAGGGCTTAGTCCCAAGCGCAGTAATTACCTCGTGGATGCCCCCCCCCCCGAGGACATGAGCACCGTGCCGATTTCTATTTAGTCAGCTAATTAAGCTCAGTGAGAGTTTTTGCATGCATAGTCTTCTGGTAGAATTTCAT